AAATTCATAAGGTCGTAAAGAGTGGGTGTAATTGACGATTAAATGAACGAATCTTCAATGTGTGAATTCATTTCGAAACAATGATTGATACGTCCAGATGCGTCTAATTTTAGCAAGTAAACTGAAGTGGCAAGTGAAATTATAAAACGAAAAAAAATCGGAAACTTTGAACGAACCATGTTGTTGTACGAGCCGCATAAGCAACGATCGCGAAGCATAAGGTAACGGTGAAGACTATAAGCAATAGAACACGTTGCATTGCCCATCACAGGCACTGATGAATGAAAGTGATAGTCAAATAGATTAGATTCTTATCACTGCGACAAATCAACCAAGTCAATTCGATTCAACTCACAAAATAACACCAGAAATATTGCTATCAATCGAGCAGTATATCGTTGATACGAAAATACACTAGAACAATAATAATAGTAACAGTAGTACGCAATTTTATATCATTATCACCGGTAGTGGTAGGAACACAGGACGACATAGAAACGAATGATAATGAGCCGTTGGCTGATAAGAGAATGTTATCACTGAACACTTATTACCGCCATCTCATCAACACTCCTTAATTGATAATAATATTGATAATGACAATCACGACCACAACCGTAATGACAATATTATATCAACAAGTGATCTTCTCTATGACTAATTCATTCGATGAATTCTAAGCGATTCACTAATCTCACTTTTAAATTTTCATCAGATAAGGTAAATTTGACGGAAAAACAACGTAGGGAATCACTCAGAAGTGTCGAATCACGATGTAATCAATAAAAAAAGATAATATTTCTAATACAGCTGAGCGATAACTATTAATAACTCTTCATATCAGCAGCGTATGTGAGTTGACATCATGCGAAGTATTCATTCACCACTTGATGACTTTGGCACAACACTGATCGTGAGCTAGCAACACCAACGAAATTAAAAGCACAATTTGAATGTACAGTGAGCCGAACTGGATGGTTATTGTGCGATAAGCAGCGCATGCATATGAACCGTATGGAATTATGGATGATGGATTGGTTCGATTGCGTTGCATTAATTCCACCTATCAGCATCAAGGAGAACAATGAACGATAGCAAAAAGAACACGTTTTGAAGTGTTGTGCATTGATTGGAATGATAATGATGACAAGGATAATGTGATTTATTACGCTAAGTGTGTGTAATTTCAGATAGATGCTTATCGCAGTTGTATTCAGGGAATGAGAATCGCAAGCAAATACGCCGACGAGGAATGAATCTTTTAATAAGGATTTCATGTTATCGCTTTGTAAACAGATATTTTCTTCGCTTCTGCTGAAGTTGATATTACAATATACGGCTAAATTTGGAAAATGGTTGATATTACGCAACAATTTCGTTTGATATTCCGTGAAAACCTCGCAAATTCTGCGAATTAAACGAGGATTTATAATGGAACGCTTTCAGTTCATTCGTTTCATTTGATGAGATGAGAGAGGGAAACTTGAGCGAATGCTGACTGATAAGAGTTAATACGTAATAGTATTCCGTATTCACGGAACCATCAGTTTTGAGTAAAACTATCAGCCAGAATCAGACAGGCATGTGTGCCTTTCTCGCGGCAATCTGATCAACAGCTTATTGCGACTAGGATTGATCGAATTTTCGAAACTGATCGACAGCTTATCGTGATATCCCTTGAAGATCATCTCTGATCGACTGAAAAAATGAATTTTGCTATCATCAGTAGTTTAATAGAGTGCTGTCCTAAAACTTCTCAAGCTCGCATCTCTCCATTGCACAGCGAATTCAGTGACCATGTCATCATAAAATTAAATTATCGGAATGATTTTCATCCGAGAAGATAAAAACTAGGAACAGAAACGCTTATTTCTTCCCATAATCTCAGCGGAGAACAAAATTCGAAATAAAACAACACGATGAAATCTTGAAGTCATGATGAAAAAACTACAAGCATTGAGGGTTATTTTCGATAAAATTGAAAATTGAAAGAGTGTGTGATAGGCCAGTCAGATCGTCACACATCATGGATGCTACTGACCTGATCATGAACGCTCTGATATTTTTGATACGATGACAGTCATATTTCGATGTCATCAACAGATGCTCTCAGCTCTGATTTTATCTTTTCTAACCAAACTCAGTCAGAGGAATGTCTCCTGTCATATAACCTGAAAAATACCAAATATTCTCAGCAATTTTACATTCACTCTTTTGTTTGATTGTTTTCGTTGAACGGTTACGAATAGGAACGAACACAAATTCCAGTAGAAAATTCGACTGAAAGTTAAACATTGATGAATAACAAGCAATTTGACTTAAATAGACTATCCCTTCTAACATTCATCAATCATAATCTCAGATTTGTCAACGAAAGAAAGGATGATCACAAAAAGAAGAGGTATGAGAACGAATGAGTGAAGCACAGATCAAGTGTATGACTTGTTTGTTTGTGAGGAATTTTTCGAGTTACATCGCTCGCATTTTCCAATGATAAATTTTCGGTGATTTATCATCCACACTTGAACGAATCACTCCTCATTGTTTGAATATAATGTGACATTTTTGATGCTCAATTTATCATTGAAATATGTGTGAAGAAATTAAATTTGTTGCGATTTTTTAAGTGCATTTTAATTGAATTACTGGCAAAGCAATAAATATAGCAGCTAATATAGTTGCATAAATAGTTGATATACCGTACCACATTCAATAAAACTACAAACACGATTCGGGCTTTTCTGCTCGATGATCCGACAGTCGCAGAAGCCGCACGGATTCGGCGCTTCACTCACACAGCCGAGTATAAATCCATCAAGCAAACGGCTGAATTGGATATCCAGATTCCCCTCTCAGAGAATCTGACTATTGAGGAACTACTTTCGCATATTATCGTTACAAACAACATTGCATTACCATTTCGGAAAGGTTTATTCATTCAATTGTTCGTGTAATAATTGATTCCCTTCTAATTTCTGCGGATTTTTGAATTTTACAGTTTTCAATTTGCATATTTTAGAATTTATGTTTCACTGCATTCCATATTTTCATTATATATCGTTCAGACGCTTTCATTATCCTCTAGCACATCCGTAGAGATATCACAGAAACACTGCTGACAATATCCGAAATCCATATGGCTTCTTAGATTCGTGTTCCAGTCAAGTTTAACAATCGACCAACTTTTTAGAAATATCTGTAAGGGAAGCTGCATTATCGTTTTGTTTTTTTCAGTATTACGAGTGTTTTGCAGAATTTGGCGATGCGCTGACAAGATTCGTCGACGAGGAAACCCGCAAATATGAGAACGAAATCGGTGATGCGTATGTGGAGCAGTTGCTGAATGATGATGAAACAGTATATCCAACATCAACGGACTCTATAGAATGGGTTGGTTTTTACTCAAAATAACGGTGAACTTTCCGGTGATTTTTTAGTGTCAGAAGGATGCATTTGAATCAGTTTCTGAGATAATTCAATGTGTTTCAATGGATTAAGTGGGCTTGAATAAAGAATGCCACTGATCAGACTTCAATTATTCTCGTTGAATTTAGTGTCACTGAATGAAAGGGATGAAATTCCATAAATGTNAAGGATGCATTTGAATCAGTTTCTGAGATAATTCAATGTGTTTCAATGGATTAAGTGGGCTTGAATAAAGAATGCCATTGATCAGACTTCAGTTATTCTCGTTGAATTTATTGTCACTGAATGAAAGAGATGAAATTCCATAAATGTCATCGATTTGCTTTAGCAATTTAAAATTTCGTCAAGATGTAGAATTTCGAACTCAAAATTAATAACTGCATTATGGTTGAAATGGAACTTGTTGTGTATTCAAGCGCGCATTGTTAGATCTATGGATGGTCCGATAGTGTTGTGATATTTGAGGGTGTATTTTCAGCAACACAAAATTGACGCCGCGAATGACTCGGAATCAGTGCCGTTCAGTGATTGTTTTCAATTCATTATGCGAAATTCGTCGCATGAACGCATCGATATGATTATTTCACTTGAACGAAAGATGGCTGAAAAGGTTCACTTTTTAAACATTTCTGAACATATCACAATCTGTTCTGCAGTTTTGTCTTTCTTTTTTAACTTTTACATTTGATAGTGTCCATTTTCATTGCTTGTGTAATTGAATTCGAAGCATTGTAAAAAGTTACGTAATGCAACCTTCCAGGTGGTGACTTTTTCACCAATAATTAAACTGCGAAGAGTATTTCGCTGAAAATCACACTGTAGAATTGGTGTTGAATTTACAGATGAGTGCTTTGGTTCGAGCACGGGACTTTGAGTTGGAACGTATGGTTCGTGAATGCGAAGAGGCCGTTAAGGAGACCATCTCTGATGAAGGCAATCCGCTACCAGCAAACGCACATCAACTCAGCCGACTCAACGAGAAACTTCGGGTTCGAGTCGCTCTTTCTCAAACTTTACGTTATCACACATCCACTGAATGGTCTAGTAGGTTTCATCAAGGTAACATTAGGTGATTTCAGCAGGTCAGTACCAACTACAGTTGTCAGATTCAAGCATTGGTGGATCGACAACGTCACGAGTACAGGAATCTGATTCGAAATCTCTATGAACGCGACGAATTTCCTCCAGAAGCGTTGAACGACATTCCGTCACCATTAGCGCCTATTTGTCGAAAGTTCGTGTTCTTCTGCCTATATTTTTATGGGCTAGGTCTCATTGTGCTTTTAGTTTCCATTTTTTGCAGTCAGGTCCTTTCAAACAAATCTGCGTTTTGAACCTCTTGACTGGACAGACGATAATTTCAAAGGGGTGAAATCAACTCATTCATGGAACTATTTCTATACCCATTGTCAGTTTTTATTTCAGGTCAAATTCAGCGTTTGCGAATTTAAATTCGGCGAAAGAGTCGCCAACGGATCGTTTCGAAGAAAGTTTCACAATTTATCTCGGTAGGTAGTCGGCCATTGGCTTATCATAAATATTGTAATCTGCCCAGCTGGACACTTATGTATATCGGATTTAATGAAACGGTCAACGGAAAGATATTGGTTACTGAGTGAATGTCTCCGTAATAAGTAGAATTTCGCATATTTAAGAGCATA